GTACGGAACAAGATGCACTTCAACACTTCATCTGTTTCATGGGCACATTTTAAGATTCTTTCTTTTTCATGAGGACACGTCTGGGCTTCAAAGCAAAAAATATGATAAAGTTTTGAAGATCTATCTTCCTATCCTTTGTAAGCCTAATTATCAAGTTTTTCTCCTTTTGGTAGTTTTACGTGTGGAAATTATGTTGACTGTCAATATGCCAGAAATACAAAAGGCTATCTTTCTCTGGAAATGAAAGATAATCAAGTTTTATCACCCACAAAATAAGAAGTACATTCACAATTTCTTGTCCCGGTGATAAAAGTTTACACAGAGTGAGTAAAAGGATTAGTGGAACTTTATAATTTAGCACTGTACTTTGGTGTAAGCTACTTTAAAGCCCCTGTGTGTAGTCGCTTGTATCACTGTACTGTAGCATCTGTCGAATTATTATGATGGGATAAGTTTTGGGGAATATTTTTGTCAAAAAATGAGACAAACCCACTGACAATTGGCCCAGTCTAACTATGTGTATGTGTGTGCTTTACTCCCAGTGTCCTCAGGTTGGATTCAAGTGTCTTTTTTGGTACTACAACTTGAGGTCACCAAAGTCAGAAAATTACAAACTGCACACATGCAGTAGGGGCTTTAAAGCAGCCATAATTTACATTTTATAATTTCACCTCATTGTTTAGCTGTCCGGCCCACAACTTTACTGTTCTGATACTCTGACCACTCTCGTTGCGCTTTTTTAGGTGGTTGTGAAAGCTCTAAAAACTACTCAGCACCAATTGGCCAACACCAACAGCTAGCTATTGGACATAGTATGGCATTTAGGAGCTAAATAGCCAAATATTTCCCTCAGGAGTTGGTAGAGAGCAAAAACAGAGCTAAAAGAGAGTGATTTACATTTATCATGTTGCCAGAAACTTGACTCCAAATGAATGATAATGATGCTCCATATCTTTTCTGCAATTCAAAAAGGTGATGAAAGTGTTTTTAAATGTATCCACTATCCCCGAGAGGCCAAGAAATTGGCATGACACTGTGTTAACTATGTCATGAGTTAAGCTTTAGAAATGCTCTGTACCTAATTATTTTATACATTTTGTTAACACATTTTTTCCCAGACTTTTGTTTTTCATTGACTTCCCCTGTATGTTACCAGTATTTACAAAGATATTTTAAGTATAATTTAATTCTCCTTTCCTAAAAAATGGCCAATTGTTTCTCCCCTTTTCCCCATAGTCTTGATTTGTACTAGTGTTAGTGGTACCTGATTCAACCTGAAACAAAATTGTAGGTTGTGTTATAAAGTCAGTGTACAGTTCCATGCATAACCCTTCGATTAAAGTTTACAGACTGTAATTATTTATAACAAGTTTAAATAACATACACACTCTGAGGTCCATTCACCATTATGCACAATGAAGGAAAAACATCCAAATACACTTCACTAACGACACACACACACACACATCACACACATGAAGTTTATGAGGAAGAGACGTGCCGTAAGTGTGAGTGCATTCCCATGTCTTTTTGGCCAGTGCATTGTGTGTGTTTAATTCCAAACGACAGACAGCCTGAGAAGAGGGGGTGCAGGGACACACATCCGCACATAACTGCACAGCAACATTCACTGTTCAACAGCTTAGAGTGCAATGACACACACCAGCAAAAACACACACCTGCACACAGAGTTTCTTCTCGCCTGGACGTATTAGGAATGCAGACAGTGTCACAGGAGCAGGGCAGGGCGCTGAGTAGCTTAATACAACCTAATGTATCCTGGCACATTAGCCTTTTCTTGGATTGAGCATCCTCAGTCATCGAGACCCACTTTACCAAGCTACCATTTTAACCAGCCTCGCACACACAGTTGCAACCAGGCATACAAGCACACACATACACTTCACTGTGTGCCCAAGCGTTCAGATGGTAGTCATCCATAAATGTATCAGTTCACAATCAATAGGCAAAACACATTTCTTTCAGATGAAAAATTACAAATGTACAGATTGAAATGAAAGACAGAAAAACTCCTCCCTCCTCCAGCTGGCCTCGTCCTCCTCTTCTACTCTTTCTTTCTTCCTTTTCTTTCTTTCTGTCTTGTTTCACTCTCATTTCATGCATTCTCATTATCCCTCTCTCGGTCTCCCTCTGTCCCCCTCCACTCCCCGTCTTTCTCGTTCTTTTGTCCTCATTTTGCACGTATCTCCATTTCTCCCCTACCTTTTCTCTCTGTCTCCCTCCCTTCTGTTCTTTCCTTTCAGCCCTTTTATTCTCATTCTGTACATCTCCCCCTCTGTTTCTCTCTCTGCCTTTCCCCTTTAGTTGTTAATCAGAGTTGATTGGGAGCAGAGAGAGCCGAGAGGAGCTCCCCAGTGGATCAATGCCTCTAAATGATCTGTTCAAGGATCCCTTTAGAACCTGCAAAACTCGCTCTGATAGGGCACCGAAGCATGAAGGCGCTCATTTCACATCTAACTCACTTCCTGATTTGCCCTCTGGGAGAGAGATAGGACTGCGGTTATAGGGATAATTTGTCCCAAAGCTAAATATCCCACTAACCAAAAGTGCTTATACCAAAATGTCTTCATTCCAGGCAATCAATTACTGCCAAGGTGAGGGGGAAAATGATGAATTTGTTTAAAAAGCTTAATCTGTGTGTGTGCGTCAAGATTGCCCGACAACTGGGTTTGTTTATGCGTTTTTGATTGAAGACATTTTCCTGCGTCTCAAATTTACTGAGCTTCGAAAAACAAGATTTGATAACGTGCGGCAGCTGAATTTTAAATGTATTTGCTGTGGTACATTTTGAAATTAAATTGATTGTAGCCATGGTGATGTTAATGACGAGTATCAGAAAAAGAGGCCGCCGCAGACACAGACATGTGCACATGCCCACAAAGGGATTCAATATTACACTACGATATCACACTGATGAATTTTAAACAGCCTTTGAAATGTTAGATGGTTCACTGAAGAATGTTTCAAAGTTAAACTTGAATCTTGAATGACTGTGGGTTGTTAAAGATGCTAAAACAAACAGATTATCAAGTCCTACCCTTATTATTTGATGGATGCTGGTAAATAAAATATCAGAACTTTCAAAAATGTAAAATAAAACTGATGTATTGTAATTTCTCTCAGAAGTATGCTGATATGAAAACAAAACTGATATATGAAACAAAATGTGTATTTATTTTAAGAGTTGTGAATAATCAAATAGCCTATTATACATTTTTGAGTACTGATTTCGCATTAGATGAAATATTAATTGATCAGTTTTAGCCTTAAGAACTTTTGCTAATAAATGGCATACATGCAATTCTCCAGCATAGTAAGCTACGACTGTTTTCAAGGGTAAGTAAGTTGAAATTTAGATCAAAATCAATAATGAATAAAGTATTGCGACCTAAAGGCAGATAGACAGTAGCTTATTCTTTTGTATCACAGACATTCCTGTTGTCCAAATGATTAAAAACACATAAATGAGCCACTCTTTTGGCAAAAGGTGACATGTTCCTTCATAACCTGGACACTGTAGCTTAATTTTGAGTTGATTTAAATGCACTACCCTGCTGTCGTTAAACTCACTAGAGCACCAAATGTGTTTTAACCTACAGCTGAAAATAACACTCGCTAAACCAGCCATTTTGAAAAACTGCTTTGGCTTTTTTAAAGATAAAAGTGTACATTCATTTTTAAAGATTTATGTCCTCAGAGCGAACGAGAGAGCCTCAGATAAGATGGGGCAGTCATAAAGTTCAGAGAGACAGACTGCATATTGTTAGCTGTGCTCTGTTAATGGCATTTGTTGACAATAACAAAAATATAGAATATCTGCAGCTTTATCCTTTGAGAGAGACTGTTTCACTCCAGTGACTTCATGATTGTAAACAGAAGTTGAGTTCCCATATAAGCAACATTGGCACCAAAAAATAAACACAAATAGATCCTGTAATGTGCAGGGGGGGGAAATGCAGCCATATGTTTTTAATGTATTATAAGTGCTTTGCAGAGACTGTTGAAAAGGGGATTCAACATCTGAGTTCACGCACCATGTGATGTATTTCCATATGTTACCTACAATTATTTCCCAAGCTCTTTGACTTTTGGCCAGAAGGAGATATATTGCAAGGAAAATTACCACAATATATACCCTATAAAGTGTGGGTATATACTAATATTTCTTCAACCTCTGACCCACTTCTATTCATCATGTCAATCTCAGTGATCCGTATGTGTACCGAACTAAGTGGACATTCACCACAGCCGCCTCTATGCACTGCTTTAGGGGGTGGAATAATAATGTGTGCTCTTTACCATCACATGACCCACTTCTCTGAGTATCACACAAGAAGGCTCATACAAGCACTCTGTCTAGAAAAAGACTACCAAACATGCTAATAAAATTCCCATAAGCGTAGCTTGCCGACCATTATTAAGATAAAACTGGTTACTATGCAAACTTCTGCCGTAACCAGAGGGATTATTATCGATTTTTCTGGCCTTGTCTTGTTTATTAAGTTAAAAAAAAACACCCTCTAGGATGTTTTTGCTGCAAACCACCATGACTCAGGTGGTTTGAAGACCCTCTATCAGAAAGCATTTGTTCAAGTGTCCTTGAGCAACTTGTGGAGTCTCAAAGGGTTGCTCTTTTGTAGACTATGACCTCGGTTCTTGTTGTAGAAATGTGCAAACACAAAAAGGTCCTAAAAGCGATCATACAATTTCATATTATAGCAGTACACAGCATGACTGCATCAAGTGGACCTTCGCCACACTTTACTTTATGCTTCATGCTGCCCAATCATACAGAAATCCAATAAAGGTGGTAAATATTCATAGTATTGTAGAAGATATAGGGTTTTTCCTCAAAATATGTGCCTCATGCTATTTCATTTTACCTCATAAAACTATTCCTGAAGCCTTTTCACCTCTGCCCACTGATTATTTTTATAAATGAAGAAATTTTAATAAACTCTTCCTTGTGTGTCTTGCAGGTTCTGGCACGGAGAGTACAGGGTGGCAGTGAACATTAATGACTATCTGGACATCTACTGTCCTTACTACGAGGGTCCTCCATCCCACGGGCGCATGGAGCGCTACATCCTGTTCATGGTCAACCACGAGGGCTACACTTCCTGCCAGCACAGGATGCGTGGCTTCAAGCGCTGGGAGTGCAACCGTCCCAGCGGTCCTGATGGACCCCTGCGCTTCTCAGAGAAGTTCCAGCTCTTCACCCCCTTCTCCCTGGGCTTTGAGTTCAGGCCTGGACATGAGTACTACTACATCTGTGGGTTATCAGCTAGGCAGTGTGTGTTTCTGTGTGAGATTGCATGTGCAGGTAAAGGGTGTTTGTCTGTTTGTTGTGTGCATGCGAGCGTGCGTGTGCCTGTGTTTGCCGGTTAGCTTCTGTTCAATATGCATTCGTAAACGATATGTAAATATGCAATCAACAGAAGATGATTGAGAGAGTTCTCAAACACAGCCCACCATGTCGCTTGCACCCACAGGCTTGCATAAATACACCTTCCATCTCTCTTTTACTCCCCTTACTCTCTCTCTGACTCTCTTTATTTCTTCATGTAGCTCTCTGCTTCTGTTGAGATCATAAGTGGTGTGCTCAGCAAAGTGGTAAAAATGTCACCAGGCGTAGTTTGTAATCATTTTTATATTAGCTGTATTGATGTTTCTCCTCACTTCAACAAGTGATATATTAGTATCACAGATGGGCCTTGCCCCCTGAGACTGTTTTTCTGAACAGAGTTAAAAAGCTATCATTCCCCCAGCAGGCATGGGACAAATAGTAGCTTCAAATTACTCTTAAACATTGTTTTCGGCTCCTCGGTGTACCAGATGGGTGGGATAGATTTACCGCATCCGGACAGTTAAGAACAAGATCAGTGGGTAATCAAAGAAAAGCACATTAAATTGACTTTCAAAAGCTTTCCTGTCATGTCCAAACTTTCTGGTTCCGCACAGACAAGTGCCACTTTTTCTGTGCGGAGACTGCAAGAGCGGCTAGGCTTCTGACAAGACATTTGCCTGTTTGAATCCACAGACCAGCTGGGAAAATATGTGGAAAGAAAATGATTCTTCTGAGAGAGGACAGTCATAATTCACACAGTCACAAGAGGTCACTTGTCAGGAAAATGTATGCATAGATTATTTGAACAAACAGTCTCGAGCTGCCATGTGGTGACCAGTTGAAGGGTGCAAACTCAGCCACACATTCTCAGATAAATTGTGAATAGTGTGATAGTGGGAAATTACTTTGCAAAAAATAATCCTTTTGTAATTACTAATTTAACCATTTACTTATTATTTTAATGAAACATATTTAATTAGTATTTTACTTATTTACTATTGTGTTCCTCTCTAAAAGTCATACCACATCTTACATTGGTGTTTAGAATTTGTGAAAAAGTCAGACTACTATGCAGCCTGGCTCAGGTCTCTTTATTTCTTTGCTGCACAGTTGGCTGAAAAATGACCTTAACCTTTTTAGTAGGAGATGATGCATTCTCACTGTGACCCATAATGGGATGAGGGTCCTCTGCCACTAGTTTCAGGTCAGCATGCAGGTGCGACATATTTCTTTGTCAAGGTTTTTGCCCTTGGACTTTTTCTGACCTTACAGTGATAGTCTTCTCATTTAGACAGCAGAAGAAAAGAAGCAAAAAAATAACCTGGACTAAAAGGTTTAAATCCAGTTTGTTACATTACATTAATGTGTTCGGATTGAATTTCTAATAACACAATTTTGTAAGATAATAAGATTAAAATTACCTACAACACCATTTGTCTAAAGAATAACTTTTAAAAATCAGTACTAAGTATTTGCAAATATTCATTTGCCCCAGTCTGTTGTCTGCACTGTCACAAAGACACAGCAGGCGAGAGTACGAGAGCTAAAGAGGCGAAGATAACAGCCACCCGATGTCCTACTGCACTTTTCCCAGTCAGCACACACACACACACACAAACAGACACTCTTTTGTTTTCAATCTCATGTAAGGATGGACAGGGCCCCTCCAGAGTTGTATAGTTGCTGACTATAGTATTGTGTTTCTGGGACCCCTGAGGGTAGTGTGTATTCCACAAGATTGGAGTGTGTGCGTTTGTGTGTGTGTGTTGTGGGGGTGGGGTGGGGGGGCCGGTTGTGGGGTCAGTTGTCAAACGATTGTGAGTCCGTGAAAGGCCATGTCCATCATCTTGACTGACAACCACACACGTTTTTGTTTCTCACTGTCAGTCACATGCGCATACAAACACACAGACATGGTCACACACACACACAGGTCAGTATTGATGTGGAACGAAGGCATGTTGATGGTTTTAACCAACCAGCCCTTCCGATGAGTGTGTGTTTTGGTGTGTGTGTGAGTGTGCGGTGTGTGTTTGTGTCCCCTTTTCGCAGTTATGCCACAAAGTAAAACACATCGATCTTTGATGGCAATCTGTGGCCAGACCTGTGTGAGTGTGCGCCCATGTGTGCACGTTGGTGTGTGTATTTGTCATGTGGTTGACATGTTGACAGGTCTGCTCCACCCCTTACTTCTCCCAGCTGCCATCTGATGAGGTTGAGTGATTTTGAATGGGTTTTCAGGAAACGCTGGATTGTGAATGTGCTGGGAAACAGAGGTGCTGGAAGAGCTGATAAGACTTTTAAAAAATGACAAAAGTGAACATTTTAAGAGGGCACGGAGAAAAAGAATGGGGGGAGGTATGTATCTATCGACTTCTTGCCCCTTCTCCCCAAAATGTTGCCATTTGTCAGTGAAACAGTAGGGAACACAAAACAAAGACATACAATAGAAGAGAAAGCTCGATACAAAGCTGGCGGGGCTTCATAGGGGACCACTATGGCACTGTGAGGAAGATATGTGGATGATTTGAAGAAATTTGAGGCAAAGGAAGAGGGCTATAGGGAAGCCATAAAAGGGTAAAGGAGGTGAAGGGCAGAGAGGAGGATGGAGGGAGGAGTTGTGGGCAGAAAGAGAGGGAGGAGAGGCCAAAGGAAGGGTCAGATTTATTTCCTGTGCGCTGTGGATCTTGATGATGGTCCTCTTTAGGGTCACTGTGGGCTCTGGCTATGCGGATTTCCTCAAGGGAGAAGGCCAATAGGTCTTCATGCACGCTTCTGCAAGCACCAGTGTGTGTGCACATTCCTTTTGCAACATCCTTGTATGCATGTGGGTGTGCGTGCAAGTCTGCATGCGTGAGTGGTCAGAGAGTTGTCACCATCTCCTCTAAGGTCTCCAGCTCTATTTCACATCAGAGTGAGGTGGGACTAAAAACCCAGATTCAATTTCATTTACTCTACTTTGAAGTTCAAATCACAGTAACTTTTTAACATTTTCCTCATTTTTTTTTTTTGGCATTCAGCCACGGCGGCACGGTGGCTCAGTGGTTAGCACTGTCACCTCACGGCAAGAGGGACCTGTGTCTGTGGGGAATTTGCATGGATTTCCTTCTTCTTTCCAAAGACATTCAAGTCAGGTCGATTTGAGAGCCAGTATTTCCCTTAGGTATGAATGTGAGTGTGACTGAATCCCAGCGTACGGGCCAAATCCCTCACAGACTTGTTTACATTGCCTGAAGTGCTCAGTATGTTTACAGGAGTTCACAAGCTAAGGAGCATGGGTTTAAGAGAACTTAAAAGGACACAATATAAGAAACCCTCCAACTGCCTCAAGCAATACATTTTGTCAAGAAAGTAATAAGCTGCATTAATGACTACATTACTGTCGAATTATAACAAATTACTGAGTGTTAACTTGCATAATAAAATAACATTCCTTGCTTTACAATGCCTTCCGTTTATTTACCATCTCTGACATATTTGTCTGAAGCTAATTACAGTTTTGTAGGTATGTTTTACTTTGCTGTAACAACTGCTCAGTGAACAAGAATATATGTCTACAAAAGTCTGCATATTCATGTAAAAAGAAATCAGCATTAAATCCCTCTCAGACACGCTAGTTTCCGGCAAAGGACAGTCCTAAGCCCTCCCCCAGTTAACAAAGTCTTAATTATTTCCTCCATATCTGTGTATTACCTTGTTATGAATTGTCTGCCCCATCTCATTAATACGTGTGGTGATTTAAAATGACTTGGGGCAGAATTGTGGAGGTTTGGTGTCTTTCTGTTGTGGGGATCCAACCTGTGACCCTCCCTGAAAGCCCCAGGTTCACTGTTGTCAGTTTAAATATTGGTAAATTTGTTTGAGAACAGGTGCCACTGAATTACAATATCAGCTGAACGAATGAAGGCATTTAGCCAAAACCAACAATGTGTTAGTCTGTCTCTCAATACTTTCTACTTTGCTACCCTGTCTGACTCAGTCCCAAAACTGTTTGTTCCTACTGCAGACATAAATCTTTAAAAACAGGTCACAAATCTATAATTTTATCTCTAAAACTGCTGGGCACTGTAGTTTTTAGCAAGTGTTGCTCAAACAGGAGTAAATAGTGCAT